GGCAGGAGGGAGCCCCGCTGCCGCTCTGCCCCAAGCAGGAGCCCGCGGTGACCTGGGGACAGAGATCTGCGCCTTTCATGGGGCATCCCCAAGATGGCAGATGCGAAGAGGCTGAGCCCACCGAGCGCTGCAGAGCCCGGCAGTGCACAGGAATCCCTCCCCGACGGCCGAGAGCCAGGGCAGAGGATGGCACGCTCACACCCCAGAAGAGAAAAAGGAGCCGCTTTTGCGCAGCGCTCCCCCGCCCGCTGTGCTGCAGCTCCTCCGTCTCTCCCAGGCTGTTGGGTGATTCCCGCTGCTCTCCCTTGCCTGGGGTCACTTCAGACAAGCTGGGATGCACGAGAACGTCCTCTTCACCCGCAGCAGGAAGGGAGTTGTGCTCCTGATGTCTCTGGCTCTTGGGACCAGTCCTTGCAGAGCTCCCTCCGTCCTGGACGGTTCTCTTCTCCCTGCCGGCAGTAAGGCCTTTATTTCTTCCTCGTCGTTGAACGGGGATGTCCCATACCTCTGCTTCAGGTGCCTGCGGACCTGGGGAAGGAGGGAGAAGCAAACTAAGGTGCTTGTTTCCAAGGGCAGGTCCAAGCCCGCCAGCAAGGAGTAGCGGGGAAGCAACTTGGTCCTCTGGGGACTCATCCTTGCTCTGAGATCCGTGGGCAGGCTCGGATGCAGAGCAGAGCGCGGGTGGCAGAGACTGGTCCCACCTTGCGGGCTGCGCCGCCGCCGAACTCAGCCAGCTGCTGCCTGAAGCCGGGGTTGGGGTTGGCGACGGGCCGGACGGTTCGGATGGCCTCCAGCACCTCCTGGCAGCTCAGCTCCGTGACGGTCATGACGTAGGCGACGACCACGGTGGTACTGCGGGAGATGCCAGCGAGGCTGGCGAGGGAAAGGGCAGAAGGGCTGCTGATGGCGGCACACCCTGACCCCCCACACACGCTCGTCCCTTCCTCCACCCCTGTGCTTCAGCTATTTCGGTTCCTCATCTCCGAGAACTTGCTCTCCGGGAGGCCTGAGCCCTTCCAAGGTCCTCTCCATCAGTGCCTATAAATACCCGCTCCTCCCCGGGGAAGCGAGAGCA